AGTTGGTGACCCTTATAGCAATCTTCTCTGCAAAGACAATTCCCGAAGTTATCGGTGTACCCTAATAAATAGAATTTATGGCATCGAGGGTAATATTGATCTCCTTTCCCCTTACAATGATATAGGTTAAGAATGAGAACTCTTAAATCCTCAATGAGTGCTTCATCGAGTCTTGTCTCGCCTGATAGGATGTATTAAACTCTAGCACCAAGTTTATATAGTATCCTTCGGGTGCATCCAAGAATGGTGACCGCTTTCTGTTAGAGAGCTGCTTGTTGATATTAGGGAATTCGTCCCCAAGCCCATCTAGATTAAAATTCTTCTATTGTGTGAATGACCGGCCATCCTGATATTTGATATAATAGGCTTCATACCCTCAACATAGAAATACATTTTGTCGTCCTTATTGGCAGGGACATGAGTGTCCTTACTTTTACTCTTGCTCCTGCTTGTGGATGGATCCTTGTGGGTGTTCCTAAGTTTCTCCTATTTTAAGTCATGGCTTGCAAAAGGAAGTTAATGCTGAGAGAACATAACATAAATTTTTTGTAATTTTCATTAGGAAAGCAAAATAATTGAAAATGATTACAAGAAGATAAGGAATTAAAAAGAATTGGAAATCACGAAGAGGAAAGCAACATGGGTTTACTGGCATGTGATGAACGCTCAACTATTTACATTTTCAGGGCATAGGTGGGTTTTTGTAAAACAAGACGCAACTTTAAAGGTTGGGGTCAAATCACAAGGATTTCCAGTTCGGATAACTCTTAAATTGACTCAACTCAAGACAACGTCTAAAATTGTACTGTCAACAAGCATATATAGTGGGGGCATTTAGGAAACAACTAGAAATTATCAATATCAAGAGCAAGAGCAAGAAATCAACACAAATAGGATCTATTAAGTTTAGAAACAACTATGGGTGTACACATTTTGATGGGGTTTGCTAATGATTAATCAGAACTAAATCAGTAAATACATGGATATTGTTCGTTCTAGGCTACATTTGATATTCTCTCGAACTATTAAACGTATATCCATTAGATTTTCTCGAAATCCAAGACCCTTACCAATAAAGCACCAAACATTGCCTGCATAAATAAAATATCCCTAGCTCATATCATTAAATGAAAAAAATTAATCGAATTGCCCTATCTCTAGCTCAAATCCATAGACTAATTTCACCAAGTCCTCACTATTGAAGTCTTACCCAACTCCATTTTTCTTTCTCAAGCCAAAATGGTGTTATAGAGCTCAACCACTAATTTTGGATTAAAACTCCAAGACAACAATAGATCGATCCATGCATAACAACCAGTTTTAGGAATAATTAATCAATACCTATTGGGTGTTACACCCACATCATGCACACCCCTTAGCTACTCATAATTGATGAAATAAAGACAATACACATACAGAGGAACACCATTTCAAGTAAAATTGATTAACAAATCTGAGATCTAAAGTTTAAAAGGATGCAAACCCGATTTTCTTCCTTAGCAAGTAAGTAAAAGTTCTTAGCTATTTTCTATCACTCCAAAAAATTCTTCTCTCTAGACTATTTCCAATTGGAAAGAAGATAAAGGTACATAATTACAGAAATTCCTATTCTATCCTTGGAACGTTCCAACGAAAGCACTTTATCATTCAAGTACATTTTTTGTCCTTAAGCTTCCGCTCTTTAATTTGTGATGGACCGCAAAATATTGATCCATGATTGTTTAGCGCTAATTGCATCGCCGCTTCAACATTCAGTTCTTTCGTAATCACCCGTGATGGTGTCGGTGGAATGCCGATCAAGAATTGTACAAGCCAATGAGTCATCAGTGCTTAGACAAGTTTTAAATATTTAAGCCGGCGAGACGCCACTTGGTTCCTATACTAGGATATCAGTTTCTTCGCCGGTGTGCTTCGGTGATTTTAAGCTCCAAATCCTTTAAACTTGTTTTTTTCAAGAAATGCCTTCACACAAGAGAACTAGAGTGTAAAATCCCCTCAATTAGCATTACAACATAGCAATAATTCATGAATTTGAGTCTAACAAGTTCATAAAATACCACCCCATCAAACCCCAAACTTGAAATATTGTTTGTCCTTAAGCAAAAAACTCACTAAGCATAGGATTTACATTCAGACACATCCAAAATAGGATTTGCACAATAAGACTCACTAACAAAAATAAAAGAGGTTTGGATATGGTAGATCGTGATTTTTATTCCCTTGATAAAGGAGGTTTACAATGATAAATTACATGTTTTTTACATTATAGTTTAAGTTGATCGTAAGGAACCTGGTTCCTTCAGTGTATAGTTGGTGTTAGTTTTATTTTTAATATTATATTACATTGCTTTTGGTAGTCATTTTGTTTCCTTGTAGCAATACCAATATACAACTTTATATTTCTATTCCAATATTATTTTATGTAAGATTCAACATGGGATAACTTATACGAGAATTATTTTAATGATACCTAAAAGAATTAAAAAATATTTTTGTATTCATCTTTCTATTTTTTATTTACATTATAAGGTAAAGGGTAAAATTGTCATATGGCATTATACATCGTATATCCTTTTTTAATTCAATGAAAAAAATATTTCTAAAAAGAAGAAGCATATACACAAGGTAAACTAGTGAATATTAACCCTAGTGTTACAATATGCTTTGTCTTTGTGGATGAATCAAATGACTACTTACCTTTGCAAAGTTTACGAATTCTATTTAGAGTCTATTTGACATTGCTATTGGAAACATATAAACACTTTTTTTGAGAAAAAAACATTTTAAAAATAAATAAATTAGGTGTTTGGCAAACTTGTAAAACAACTTTTAAATAGAAGCAGAAGCAGTTTTTCTGTTGTTAGGAAGAAGCTAAAAATTTATTCTTTTTAAAAAAAGCAGAAGCAGAAAATTATTTTTTTTCAAGACTAAAATATCCCTTCCTCTTATATTGCGTTGCACGTGTGTATTGTATATATACTATACAATGTTGTAAAATAGAATTAATATTACTAAATTAAAGTTTTTTAGTAAATAATTATAATTGAAAGAACACAGGACAAGTGTTTTTAAGTAATTAATACAAATTTGTATACAATTACTTGTATTTTGAGATCAAAATGACCAGATATCATTGAAACATTTCAAAATACATTCAAAGTTTAAATGTGGGGAGAAAGTGACATTTATTAAGTAGTATTTTTACTTCATTCAATTTTGTAAGCAAATCTAACCAACAAAATTTTAAAAAAAATGTCACCAATAGCCTTTCCTCTTGAGGTTATGAACATAAATGATGGACACCATTTAAGTACAATTTTTTCTCTTAAATATTCTTACTTGAAATATAGTATGTGCATGACACTAATAAGGATTACCATAAATATTTCAACATTTTATCTATATACGCAATCTATCTATACTTGAGTAAGACTACCATTTATAGAGAGGTAATTTTTCCATTTGATTGAAATCATATTATAAGTAAAAGCTAAAATCTATTTTTGAAATAGTGGATTTTATATTCAAACTAATCATTTAATGGACTGTGCTGATGCCCGTTCCTTTACCAAAATTAGAAAGAAATTCCTTCATGAGGGTAAGAGAATAAAAAATTAAAAAAGAAAGAAGAAATATCATACACAAATCATGTGTCTTTTTTCATAGTTGTTTATTATTATTGTCTTTTCCACAACTTTTCATCATTATTAATTCATGAAAATCGTAAGAAAAATCTACGAGTGTGAATTGTTGAATGATTTGCTATAATTTGTTTGCCAACTCTTTCGTATGTCATACCTCGAATTTCGTTGAATTTTGAACTTAATCAACTACTGCAAATAATCCTTGAGATTTTTTAAGAAGAAGAAGAGTACAAAACTTTAAAAAAAATGTAGTTTAAAAGTGAGAAGAAACTCCTCTATTTATAGCTAACAAATAGTAGTATGAATAGGTGCTAATTGTGCCTTGTCAGAAATGTTACAACCTTTTGTAAAAGTCACTGCTCATCGGAAAAGTCACAACCCTTTGGAAAAGTCACAACTCATTGAGAAAAAGGCACAAACCCTTTGGAAAAGTCACAATCCTTTGGAAAAATCACAACCCTTCGGAAAGTCACAACTCATCGAAAATGTCACAACCCATCAAAAAAATCGCAACCTTTTGGAAAAGTCACAACACTTTGAAAAAATCATAACCCTTTAATGTGAAAAGGAATCTATTTTTAATATAATACAAAAAATAAATTGAGTATTTTTAATTGGGGGTAATATAATAATTCAACATTCAAGTTTAGGAGTTCATGCTTTTAAGGTAGTGCATATGTATATATATATATATATATATCTTATTAATTTATTTTTTCAATTATTTTACGTATAAATTTACAAAATTAGAAAAAAAAGTAACAACAATATTTTTGCAAGATTAGAAAGAAGAAAAAAAATAACTAAAGATTTCAACCCTCCAGAAAAGGTATAATCTTGATTGAAAATTTGAATATGAATATTTTAATTTAATAAAAATAAAAATTTAAGTGATTTTTTTGTAATAGATGCTTAAACTAGTTTCTCTCTATAAAATAATCTTAATATTAAAAGTATATTAATATTTGTCCTTTATCGTAATTTGACTCTCATAAGCACTTTCTGAGAAAGATAACAATTTGCTTATAAAAAAACACTTTTCAAATGAATTATCCAAACACAAATTGTTTTTTTTTTTCAAAAGTACTTTTTTGAAAAGCTATTTTTAAAAAGTGTTTATAAAATTAAGCAATTTTTTGCAGCAATGTCAAACAAGTTCTTAGTAGGGATTTAAATAGAGAAATTTATTTTCTCAGAAAACATGTTAAATGGATATAGTAAGGAAATCTAAGGGTAACACATAAGGGAAATGACATTCTTTTTTGTTAACTTATCAAAATCTCAAGTCTCACTCTTCACATAGAAAAAATGAGTTGTTAATATTACATTGCAAGAAATAAAACTAGCATATATTACTTAAGGTGGACTGTTGGGAATTCTACTCAAAATAGAGTGTTCAGGTTTGTGATCACACTCATAGTCTAGATGAACAAAAGCACGTTCAACTTCTGAAAGTTCTTCAATCTTTATCTGAAGTGACTCTCCAATGGCATGAGCTTCTTTCAGTGGCAAGTCTTCTAGAAGCTCTATGTCAACCTGTTTGCACAACAAATACTTAGTCAATATATTTCAACTAAATCCTTTTTGTTGGACTATACAAACGAGGCACAAATAACATTTTTTGTGTATTTTTGAATCCCCCAAACATAAGGGATGTTTTCATTTTAGTTGCAAATGTAGTTCAAAATCCCACAAAGCCATTTTGATTCTTTTGGATTCATTTCTCATGTCTAATCATTTTCATAGCTTCATTATATTATTTATTACTTGTGAGAATAGATGACATGATTCTCTAGGAAATTAGATGTATTTAGAGGAAGATTTTCAATTTTGAAAGGTAGAGAAGTTGAAAAGTTTGATCAAAGTCAACAATCTAGGATAATGATTGCAAATTCAAATTTCAACAGTTTGGTTATGTTCGAAAGATGATTTTTGACTTGGTTGGATGGATGGAATGGATCACAGGGTGTTTTTGAGTGATTTGAACCTTCGATTGAATTTTTGAGTTTTAAGAAAGTTGAGTTTGACCACGATCAACTTTTGGTCATGACGACCTTGGATGGTTGATTTGATGACTCCAATAGGTCGATTTGCACTATGGTTTGCATCGAGGGGATCTTGGTTGAGTGACCTTATTGCGTTCGGAGACTTGATCCAACTTCATCTGCATTGTTACTTTATTTATGAAAGTTTGGAGATTTAGACTATTGTGTTATTATTTAAATTACTTCCACATTTATATTATGTTTTGTATCTTCTTAAAGGGCTGGTTTACCTATCAAGGAGGGTTAGGATAGGTGTCATCAAGATGTAATTTTTGAATCGTGATACTTTTTTAAAAAAATTGGCTCCGTCACTATTGATAGCCATCAAGTGTTGAACCTGATTTTCATAAATAAAGAGTTGCATGTTGGTCAACTTATAATCTTACCTAAACAATATCATATCTCTTTTCTATCCATTTTATAAAAAATCAGAAATGAGAAAACCACATCACAATAATAGTAATCTCACCTCAACAAAGTAAAGAACTCCAAAAGTGTAGGCTCTAACAGTGTCAACTCTTTTTATTTGAGGATCATGCCTTAGGACTAGATATGTAAGTTTCTGCAAAAATTCAGGAGGGGCGGATTGTCCAACTAGAGAAACTGCATAAAGGAACATTATATTTATAAACATCAAAATTGGCTTATTGGTAATTGCATATTAGTTGAAAAGGGAATTAAAAAGAAAGAACCTGCATTTTCCAACACAGTTCCAGACCAATTTGTAATTGTATATACAGCAAGAACAATAGCACCAACAGGATCAATCCACCAATAGAATCGATCACCGAGGACAGCAGCCACCAAACCAACAACATTTGTGACTACATCAAAGTAGTGATCCTAGATATCATGATTCCATAACATGTCAAATGATGCACAATTTAAAAAAAAGAATGAATGTATGTAGGAGAAAAGACCTTTGCATATGCTCTAACTATCTTATTCCCCGAACTTCTGCAATAAATCCACAAGACAAATTTTACTCCAGTAGATGTTAGCATAATTGCATATAGCCAACACAATTGCTCCTCAGTCATCTTGTTTAAAGGTGTATCTTTTATCAATTGTTCCACAGCTTGCACTAAGACTTGAAAGCCTATGCAATCACATACAATCGATTTGTCATTCATGACTTGTAAACAATAAAAACAGAGACAAAGATATGACATGTGCAGAAAGACATACCAAGAGTTGCCATAACAGCTGCAAAGATGACAATCCCTACAGGTTGAACTCTTAACTTTCCTATAGGGTACTTGTAAATGTTTATACTTTTCATTGATAGGTGTGTGAACCAGAGAATACCACCGGCCATTAGATCAAGTAATGAATCCAACGTCGATGCTTCAATTGCTAAAGAACCACTTTTTACTATAGCATATACCTGCAATCGATCCAAAGTAACGATAAAGTATAAAATATATCTTTATTTCCTCACAAAGAACATAATTGGATACAACTATCTTATGTCTCATAATGATGATTTGATTCATCATTAGCATTAAACTTACATGTGGTAGAGTTTGAGCAAGAAAAACTATGTAGCTAAACTAGTTGTAGCAAAAATAGCTAGGGTATATGCTTACTCTAGCTATTTGTATACGATTTATGAAAAATTCATAATAAATTACCTTGTTTGTATATTAACAAGCGAAATATACAAACAGAGTTCTAGAAAATTCCTAAATATATAAATTCAGAATTTGTATATACTTGCCTATTTATATATTCGCAAGCGAAATATACAAACAGACAAAAATATACAACTGCAGCCTCCATAGCAAACAAAATTATAGCTATGGAGCGCAATTATCTTTGTTTATACTTATCTATTTATATATTTACAAGCGAAATATACAAACAGACAAAAATATACAACTGCAACCTCCATAACAAACAAAATTATAGTTATGGAGCGCAATTATCAAAACTATAGCCTTAGAGTCTTTCTTATTATGTTTGCTATTTCTGAAATTTTTTCTTAAGAGATTGGCACATTTTCCAAGTGAAGGAATACAAATGAAACTTTACCTTAAAAGCAAGTAATAAGACATTTGCCCAATTAGAAATATGCATTGCTCTTTCATGTTGTATTTGCTCTAGTAGGTCTTGCTCTTCATCAATGGCATTAACTGAATCAAGTGAATCAACTTCCTCAAAGGACTTGAGAGTAGCAATTTGTCTTTCATAATATTCTTTCTCTCCTATAAAGAAAAAATTATGAGATCATCAATAATAAAAAAAGAAACACGACAAGGTAGCAACTTTTACATGTAACAACATTGAAGGATTTACCTTCAATTAAATCACTGGCTTTAGACAAGTCCAAAAGAAAAGGGACTTCAGGATCAAGCCATGTCTTAACCTTTCTAGGTAATTCTGAGAAGAAATCACATCTCATAGAATTAACTGAGTTTCGACGCTTTGTTATATTGACATTGCTCAACAATGGCTCTTCCACATCCATTTTTTTTTGTTTTTTTCTTTTATCCAAAATCAATGTGAATTCTCACAAATCAATTTGGCATGAATTTCTCTCTCTCTTTTCTTTATATCAAGAGACATAAATGGATGTCAAAATTGAAACATGCAAAAATGCATGAAAAATGTGACTAAATGCCCAGATTTGTTTTTGCTCTAAAAAATTGTGGCATGCATGAAAATAATGACATGTTTGGTTAAGCTTTTTTTCATCCTTTTTTTTTTTTTGGAGGGGAGAGGTTCTAAGTTCATTTTTTATATTGAAATGCATCTAATTATTTGTACATATGATTTTACACAAGGCCTAAATTGCTCTTGACTTTTTCTTCAGGGCTATTACATCTCATTCATTTATGTAATGTGGTCTCTATAATTCATATGTTAGTTTGGTATAAAAATTTTAATAAGATAAATGAATGATAATCCTCACTTAATCATCACATCATTCGTCCACATTTTATTTCTTACTAAATTCTTTCATTTTTTCTTCTTTCTTTTTTTAAAATATGATAAAATATATTTTCAAGAAATGTTTTCCATGAGAAAGTTATTTTAGAAAATATTTTTCCATCAAATTAAAATATATATATTTTTTCTTAATCTTTTATAAATTTGAAAAACAAATTTGGAAGGAGGTAGGATATTCCAAAATATGGAAATAGTTTTTCAATTTGGAAGGGGTTGTTATGACTTATGCCTATCATCAGGAGTAGAAGCCTCTAATAATTTGTATATTAAATCAAAGGGCCACAAGTATTGGTCACTTGGGTTGATTTGTTAGAGAGTTGTTAACATTGATTGTCATGCCAAAGGGTAGAGTTAATATCTGCTAAAGTTACTTAATTTTGAGAATTTGTTTAGCAAAGTCATTAAACTTTATTGTATATCAATAAAATCATTCAACGTATGCATTTGGATCAATATAATCATTCAACTTATGCATTTGTATCAATATAATCATTCAACTAAATTTATCATTAAAAAAGCCTAACATGAAAAAATAAAATTAATCATTTTCTATGTCATATAATGTCACGACCCAAAAATGGACGTGATGCCACTTGTCTATTCCCACCAAAACAAGTCAACCTCAACCCAACGAAACCGAAAGAAATGCATAAAACAATAAAGCAAGAGCAAAATAAAGTGGATAACTTATTCATTCTATTAATAAACCCAAAATCTGGTTGTCATGTATACAAGACACTAAATGCATAAAGTGCGGAATTTAAGAAATAAGTACAAGTCTCAATCTTTGTTTCTCAAATAGAACAAAGCTTAAAGGAAAAGGAAAAGAGGGTCCGCCGGATTGACAAGCAGTTACCTCTCAAGTCCTCCAACGAGCCTCAAAAAGGGAGAAGAAGAACAATCACGCTAAACTGGCTCAGTACCTACACAAGTGTAGAAGCAAAGAGTGAGTACCAACAACACGGTACCCAACAAGCAACCTATTAAACAGGACATCGAACTAGAAATTGAATACCCCTTACAACTCCAACCAAACCTCCTCAAACTACAATTTGTACATAAATCAGCCCAACCTAACAGTTCTACAATACACGGCTCACAAGGCCCAATATCAGTTCAATAGTCATAATTCTACAATTAAACGAATCGAATAAGTCAATCTCATTGTCAAGTAGTTCAGTCACACGCAACAAGTACATCAATCACAATTAGCAAACAAGTCATGTATAAGCATCAAATGCATCGAGTCACAATAATCAATCTCTTGCCGGAACCATTTTCTATCGGCTTTATAAACACTTGTCAAAAATGACCTCACCGGCAAAGACCTCGCCATTATAAATTATCACAAATCTCAACACGGTGTTCAAAAATCAATGCACACAAGCAAGATCACACCTTATGAAAGAGATAGCAAATTATACAATTCAATTCCACATTCATGCTTTCAAGCATTTTATCGATCAATCAACAAGAGTCACAATACGATAATTCATATCATTGTGTCCATCACATAACATTTTTCATTTCAATCCATTTTTATTCATTTAGGTATATCAAGGGGATAATTAAACCATTCACCCCATCCTCATTACTCCCAACACACAAGCAACGAAGGAAGTACACAAATTCTACTAGAATGTAAGGTTTAGGAGATCACTTGCCTTAAATCAAACAATAAATCAATCCAAGAGTTGAGACTTTCCCTTCCGAATCACTTCCAAAGCCACACAATCTATAACAATCAAGTATTCACAATCAGTCATCGGAAACAACAATTCTCACATCAATTATATAGAGAAATGAGTCAATCAACTTAAAATCCAATTTCAAAAATAGAGGTTTGAATCCGGAAAGCAATACTCAAAAATGATGTTTAAGGCTTTAGGAACTCATTAGTGAACACCATATAAAAAAAGGGATCAAAACCACTTCAAAATAACCATTTTAGATCAAAACTCAAGTTCTTGCCAAACCTTGTAATTTTTCAAATCAAATCCCAAATTATGAGGTTAGAATCCATAAATAACCAAAGGAAGATGAGGTTTATGATCATAAAAGTTTACCAATTGATTTAGCACAGAAAATCCTTTCAAAAATCACCACCAAGGGTTCCCTAAGCTCAAAAATGAAAAAATGGGGCTTAAGCCCTGAAATTTGCAGGTCAAAACCCCTCTAATGTCGCAAAGCGACCACCGGTTCCCAAAAGCGAACCATAGATAAAAGGCTTCTCTCGTAAAAGTGAAGCCCTCTTTGCTTTTGTGAAGCTTGCTTAAGTGAAGAGGCGCTTGCTTATACGAAGGTCACATAAGCGACTGGCCTTCACAAAAGCGAGGCTTGCTGACACCAGCAAACAATGGTTTGATGAGGATAACTAAGTTGACACGCCAGAATTTGCTATTGGAACAACAAGGTGGTGCCATACCACACCGCAGGCGGACGTGCAGTAGCATTCGCGGTGGTGCTTTACGATTCGAATGTACTGCGTCCAAGATCCGAACGAGCTTGCTGAGTCTCGGCTATTCGAAAAACACAGACTGAAGCAAAAGATCACAAAATGCAACACAACAAGGGGGTCGTTAGACTGTAGCTTGCGTGAAGGAATAAGCTAATCAATAATAACTGAGACAGGGAGAAGAGGCGAAAGAGACTCTCAAAACATCAAAAGGACCCTCGGGATTCGTTCAGAACCCCGTACACACAAATCACATATGCAAATCAATTATACTCGACGTTCCAGACTCAATGGAACAGTCAAAATACGAATTTGAGGTCTTCTTGATCCACATCTGTGAAAACCACAAGAAACTAACTCACGCCTAAAAAGGCTAAAACAAGCTCGGAACCTCTCAAAAATCAACCAAGACCGCACATAGGCCTAAAATCATCCCTCGAATCTGACAGAATTCTTGGAATTCTGATATGAGCATCTGAACCCCGAACGTTGATCAAAGTCAATCCAAAGGCAAAATTTCCACTATTTCATAACTTAGGACCTCAAAAGATTCGGAATTTGAAATCGATAACTCTCATGGCGCATATTCCACATTCCGAGATTGATGGAATCGACGGAATTTCATTCCGATACTCGAAACTCCAAAGGACTCCAAAAACCACGTTCTTAACAATATTAACCTTTCACTCAAAACTTACAAAATTCTCAACTTTTAAGTCCAAGTTCAAGAACAACTTTTCAAACTCAATCATAAAAGACTCCGGGTCAATCACAGGAGGGGCAAAATGGTCAATTCACAAAAAATAAAAAATGAACGACTAGATCATTATATATAAACATGGACCATACATTGATGAGTTTTTCCCGGCGAATTTAATTAATGAAATAAATACTCTTGTGGTAATACTGTATAATATTATGTCTTGATTTAGTAAATAAAAATATATGTGTTAGTGAAATACATATTATGGTCCTCCCTTAACCACATGTCTTGAGTTCAAGTCTTGGCTGTGGAAAAATCTTTGGTAGGAATAGCTTTCCCCCGAATGAGACATGAATCCAAATTAATTGCACTCCAATGCGGGTATCAGATGCCGAATGAGAAATAAAAAAAATTATGATGTTAGTGTGTATTTCATATCGTTGGGGACTCTTAGTGATTTAAAACGTTTAGCATTTTTAAATTAGAACTTATATATTTATACCAACTAGTTTTTTGTATGTGCTTTGTATGTGAGTTTCGCGACAAATAAAAAACTATATACCAGAAGAATAAAATTATTTATAAAATAACAATTTACGTTAAAATAAATGTTATATCTATCTAATTGATATGAATTTCATATAGTAAGGTTAAAAAGTTATTTTGAAAAGCGTAAACCTCTTTCTTTAATATTTTTAATTCTTTACTCATATATTTATTTTGTCTACCATAATTTAAGTAAAACTTGTACAAGGTAAAAGTATTACTCCCTCCGTTTCAAATTATTGTTGAGGTGTTTCACACCCTTTAATAAAAGAAGATTAAGACATAAATTAGGCATAACTTTCCATTTTACCCTTCTTAATTAGTGTCAAATTTATGATTAAAATAACTAAATATTAATTAAGCAACTAATTTCAATACTAACTAATGAAGGGTAGAATTGGAAGAACATACTAAAAGTAATCTTGAAAATTGAACAATTAAGTTAATTTGAAAAATGAAAAATGTCTCAACAATTCAATTAATTAGAAATGGAGGGAGTATTTTTAAAGTATTAAATGTTAGGACTTCTAATATAGTAAAAATAATAGCCTCGTTGGCCTCCTTGTATGCTCCTTGAGACATTCCACAAGCCCATCATAACTCTTCAACATATGTATAAAAGTAAAAAACTAAAGTTCAATTTACAAGCCGTCGGAGCCCATCAACATATGCCAAGTGCATGAAATACATCCCAGAATAATCCATTGGGCACACAATACCATGTAAAACATCCTACCTCTCAAAAAGCCTTAGGAACCCATAAGTT